CAGGAAGTTCATCCCTGCTGAGCTCTTCCTGCAGGGTCAAAGGCATCTATAAAGCCTCCCAGGTTAGCATGCAGCTGCTCTAACAAGCATGAGTCAGCACCTGATCTGCAGCAGATCAAGTTTCTGACTCTCCACAGGAACTTTTAACTCTGGAAGAATAACACAGGAAAAAACCATGCCAGGAGGCTGCATTTGAATGGCATTTCCTTCTCCCTTACTGGCTTTGATCATACAATATGTTACAGAGTGCGAGGCCTGTGTTTGGATCTAGTGGACGGACTTTAGAAAGGAAGGGGAGCTGGTCCCTCCATTACAGGGACAATGATCTACTGAAGACCATGAAAACAGATCGCTAGTTCAACGCTTGCATTGTCTTGTGTGGGCTTCCAACTTGTGGAAGCCAAGCAAGGGTTTGATCAAATCAAAGAGAAGAAAAAGAAAACTACCAGTGATAAAAGATAAGCTGTTGTAGGCATTGCATGGTCAGGGTGAAACTCCAGCCCGACAGACATCAATGACCAAACTTTCACAGACTTCAGTGGGCCTGTAGCTTTTCATATTAGAGAGAGCTATTTTCTTTTCTGTAATTGGGGATCCCTGGTTTATCAATGCCTTCATCAGCTCCCATAGGACAAAGAAGGCCTTTTTTTTTTTTCCCACAGAACAGAGAATACAAATAAAGCTCAACAGAAGCATTGGGCCTGATTCTGATTTCATATACACCAGTGACTCTCAGGAATAGTTCCATTGATCTCAGTGGAGTCACACTGGTGTAAAACTGGAATAAAGTGAGATCAGAAGTGGGCCATGTACATATTGTTTTAATTTTGAGATTTTCAATTTAAAAAAAAACCATAAAATTGTTGAGCTGGAATTGTCTAAAAGATAAGAAAATGTGCCATGACAAAGGAACAAAGTACCTTTAAAATCTCAAAGCAAAACTTCAGCATTATATTAAAGGCATTTGCTGCATTTAATTGGAATAATTTGTATCTGATTATTTTTGCAGCTGGTTGGTGTGATTGTAAATCTAATGAACTGTTAAGATGGCTAGAGCTTTCCATATGGGCTTTTTAAAAATATTGCTATTTAAATTTAAATACATTAAATAATACAGGGAAGAAAAAGGACCTGATTCTTCTGTGACACCAGTTTTACATCATTGTAAGACAACTGACTTCAGTAGAGATGCTCTTGATTTACACTAATGTAAATGAGAGAGGAATCAGGTTGTTGGTCATCTTTGCAATCAAATGTAGTAATTACAATATATTTATACAGTAGATGAGTTTTTGGTTTTGGTGCATCAGTTCAAATACAAGACCGTGGTATGCAGAGTCAAATGGGTTAGCCGGGAAGCCAGTACAGACATAAAAAATCTTGATTTTTTTAAAAAGTCCTGGCAGATTCAAGAGATCACTAGTTCATAGTCTTCTGGGCAGAGGATAAAAACTTTATTGCCAACATTTGATGTGCTTCTCGGGCACAAGATAATTGACACTGTAGTAATTACACAAGAACTATGCACAAGGAATCTAGAACAGAAGAAATATTATAGCAAGTATGTCAGAGTTATTGCCATTGCACGTGGATGAGAATCTTAGAATTCAAACAGAAAGACGCTGGCAATCTTCCCAAGAAACAGTTATATCATCCACACCAAGGGCTTATGACATAGCTGCCTTTGTGGGTCACTCCCACAGAAGAAATAGAAATCACTAAACAAAACCAAAGAAGACACTGTTTCCCTGTTTCCTGGGGACATTCAGAATTCTATTTACAATGCTTGGATCATGAGGAAGTGACAGGCGCCCACCCAGACACTGACAAAGTAAAACACACAGAGCAGCGGACACAGGTTCCATGAGGCATGTTCCCCTCAGGCCATTGCAAGAGGCGCTTTTTTGAGAACAGGAAGTGGCTTTGTGATAAGAAAGCCTCTGAGGTTCAGAGACAGTAGTCACGTCATCTGTCCAGCGGTTTCAGCTCATCTGTCCTAACCACCTTCCTACGTGTATGTTGTTTTCATTGGCAGCTTTAGTGTGTGTGGTTGGTTGTGGTTTATTATGCTTTTGGTGTTTGAAAATCAAACATTGGAAACAAAGTCAGTCTCAGACTAGCACACTTTTAGTATGTTCATTACCCTAGCAGTACACTCCCTCCCCCACCATCTTTTCTCCACTTGCCAGTTCCTAGGCCTGTGCTCAGAGAACTTTATGCTTCATAAAACTAACTTCAATAAAATAGACTCTTGATGTGATAGTGTAATACTATCCCAGGGGATGGCTTAGAGCAACTGTATTTTCAGTTGTTGTTAAGGCATTTGTGATCTGAACAGTGAAGAGAGAGGGCGTTCTATCAACACCTGGGCTTTAGAGTGAGGCTCTTGGTGATGGACTTCATGCCAATGCACCAGGGGCAGGAACGTGTACATACTGTACAAGAACATACAAAGTGGTGTTGTCAGGATGACACACTTGTATAATTGCATACCCTGCCATTTGGTTATGCCTTGTGTGGAACACCCTATAGCTTCTATTGTACTTTACTGCTTGGGTCCCGGAAACAACAGTGCTAGGAGCATTAGAAATGCCTAAGGTAGGTAGATAAATACAGAAAAAGTTCAATAGTGAGGATCCTTTGGCTTACAAAGTCAATTTGTTCTCTGAATGTACTCAATATAGTCAAGAAGAGAGGGTTCTTTGAATCATATTGACTGTACTGGCTTATTACGTGAATCCATTCACATGTTTTTTCTCACTTAAGAGGTTTATTCCTTTAAAATGTCAGATCATCATTTGCATTCACTCCAGGTGATACATACATGGACTGTAACTTCATTGAACAGGTTATTCCTGTATCAGATGTCCACTGAACAGCATTTTGTATTCAAATATAAGACATGCAAAGGTTGGAGTGGGGATGTAAGGGCTAATCCAAAGCCCGGTGAAGTCAAAGGAAAGACTATGGGCATCTTTCCATTGGCTCATGGAGTCTCTCCATTGACTTCAATGGGTTTTGGATCAGGCCCTTATTCCCTGTCATTTTGTCCTTTCTCATAAATGAACAAATACAAATGCAAAGTACAAACCCATGCTACTTTAGGTTTCTGACTGCCTGAGAGTCTCCTCTGTGAAGTATTATTTTTTCAGTCCTTATAAAAAGCAAACTAAAAAGAAAAAAACTAACTTTTTTGTGCCAAACTTTGATGTCTGTGTCTGTGAGTCACACCCAGGATGTTGATATGCTTCATCTTCTGTTTCTTTTCCTTGGAAACCACCTGATTCTAAGATGATCTGAAATCTCAAGAAGAATTTTTGTTTTGGGTGGCAGTAGAGGATCCGAAGGCATCATTCGGAAAGTATCACAGTAAAAAAACCATGCACTGTATAAGAAGGAAGGAAAGAAGCTGTGGTGCTCAAGATACAGAGAACCTTTCCATTTGACTCACGCTTGTTCAACCTGCTGCTTTTAACCCGGCCTCTGTGCAAGAACAACCTGCAAATACAGAGGAGATTTGACTTTGTGTGAAGATAAGATTTACACAGTGGGTTTCCACATAGTTCCTGAGTTAGTGTTGTTCATCTAGGGAGCCTAACTGCACCACCCCTGGCCACTCTGTTAATTTAGGCACTCTATATTTATCCTGCAGCATTTGCTTTGCTCTGGTGTACGGCATCTACCATTTGCTTGAGAGTGTTGTGCGGCTGGTGTTAAGCACTAATAATTTGTTAACTGGTCTGCAAATCTTACAGTACATCATGGGTCTGTTCACGCCGAGCAAGTCCCCATCATTGTACTAAAAAACTGTCGTTAACATGTTAAAAGTAAATCTATTTTTGTGGGGTGTTGGGGGCTTTTTTTTCTGATCCAGTAATAAACAGCAACCAAAAAAAAAAAAAAGTACAAATAAATGCATCAATGGGAGTCTTGTTTGTCAATCATGTACTCGAAATTTATATTCAACCTTTTGATTAGGCAAAATATTTTTGAACCTCCATGATATATTGAGCCCTACTCTTGCAAACACTTATTACCAGGCATATTGCTCACTCTTGTAAATAATCCAATTGAAGTAAGTGGGTCTACAGTACTATATTGTCAGCCGTAAGCATTCAAATCACAAACCAGGTCTCCAGAATCATGAGATTTTTAAAAATAATTTGGGAGGGGTTCTTTTTAATTGCCTTCTGCTTTCCTAGCCATGCACTTGGAGCATATTTTCAGGCTTTTCTCTACTACCATGAGGGTTAGAAATGTATTTTTAACAATGAAAGCTGGGATTCTCATTTTATCACTTGCCTCAGGGAGTGGGGTTTTAAGAAAACCACCAGATATTATGAGAATCATGGTAAAATCACACTAGTTGGCAACACTGCATTACTAACCAGTAATGGGAGGAATGGCACCTGGATTTGTAGTCCAGAAGAACAAATGGCTGGACAGACAAATATATGAAAATTCAATTTTTTCTTTGGGTTTTCACATCTTTCGTTAGTGTTTTTTTTGCCAGAAGCTGTGAGGAAACTTTTATTCCCTCAATATTTTGCATATGTTTGTAAACTTACTTTGTTTATTAAAAGCTGAATGCGAGAAAATGGGCTAGATTCTGCTCCATTAAACCTGCTCAACTCCATCGCCTTCACGGAGTTGTGGGGGAATGACAGAACATGGTGACAAAAACCTGCTTATTGTAGTTCAGTAACAGATGCTAGAAAAATTGCAGAGAGTAAATATTTAACCATAATAGTGGTAAATTGCCTTTCTTTAACATACTTCCCTTGGTCCCAATCTTACACCCTTTGCTCCTGGGAGTAGTTCTTGCACATCAGGTAGTCCCATTTGAAATCAGTGGCACAACTTGTTTGAGTAAGGGTTGCAGTAAGACAAAATAATAAAGTGAAAAAATTGCCTTGACTTTTGCAGGGTTTGAAAAATTATTTTCAATGTAAACAACAAAAAATGCTTGGTGTTTTTTGTTGTTGTTTGTTGATTTGTAGCTCCTCTGCATATGAGTCACTTGTCCTCGCTGCCTCCAAGACTGGGTACTGTTGACATGCAGTCTCCAAGAATACCCGGTAGAAAACGAGGAAGACCCCCACTCCATTCTACTCCGATGAAAATGGCTGTTCACAATCTCTATTCAGCGCCGTCTGGTTCCTTGCCAGTAGTGAAGATCCCAAAGAAGAGAGGAAGAAAACCCGGGTACAAGGTACATATACTCAACCCTGCCACTCCCCAGGTTCCTCTGCCGTTAATGATTGTGTCTGTTGCTTTAGGATATAGTACAATAGACATGAAATTTGAAATATAAGATAAATGCATCAAAGGCCTTTGTGGTGCAATGCAATAATAGAACAAGAACTAAGCTTCTCTTCAAGTAATTCATCAAACTGATAAAAAATGGGGGGAAATTGCGAAACTGTTGAAAATGTTTTCATTTGGAAGTATTTGAAAATAACTTATTTTTCAAAAAAAAAAAATTGGGAAATTTCATTCACATTTTTTGGTGTTCTGATTTTTTTCTTCCCTCACCCACTCTTATTTTTCTTTTTCAACGAGAAAAGAAGAAAGAAACGGGAAATTGGGTGGAAAAAATAGAAGTTTTCATTAAAATTACTTGAAATTTGGGGAAAATGGATTTTTAAAAAAGAAATGTGTATTTTTGGAGAAAAGGCCATTTTTCAATGACACTTTTTGGTTTGAAAAATTGTGACCGGCTCTCAGTGTAATGCATTACAGCTAGGGTTCCAGGGGAGTGCAGTGACAGCTCTCAGAGACTTTGGAGTTTAGAGTGTTCCCAGACTGAGACTCCTGAAGACGGAACGTGTCTCTGTCCATGAGACGATATCAGCACAGGCAGGAGCAGTGCCAGCTTCCCCAGGCTTCAAACCTGACCTGGAGGAACCTCTTCTAGGAATAGAAGGATAGTTCACTTCCAGTCGCCATGCCTTCAGCTCTCTGCTGAGGCTGCCAGCTGGGCTGCTAGTTCGTGTCATGGGGACACTTGCCAGGTCGCAATTGGACTGAGCCCACAGACTTCATTTAAACTAGGTGAGGAGAGAAGATTTAAAACCTGTCGCTGATAGTGAACTGGAACTTTATGCCTTAAGGGTATGTCTACACTAGAATCGTAAATTGACCTATATTAGGTAATTACAGCCACCACAGTAATTACTGCAGTGGTGCATGTCCTCACTAACCTCTTTGGGTCTGTGGTGTGTGTCCCCACCAGGAGCACTTCCACCGACCTAAGAGGAGCAGTGTGGGGAGCTGAGAGCCCGGGCTCTCAGCTCTGCTGGCAGCTAAGCCTGGCTGCCTCACAGGCTCCCGGCAGGCGGGCCACCCTCCGCTCCCTGTTCCCCACCAGGAGGAAGCTGCCTGGGGCTTCTTGCTCCAACTCCCAGCTGGGAGCGGGGTCTAGCCGCCCAGCTTTCTTGTCAATTTCATGGCTCCAGTGTAAGTAATGCAGAGTCTATACAGATGCTGCCTCACCCTAACTAACCAACATAAGCCCTACGCCTCTCGTGGAGGTGGAGTTATTATGTCGCTGTAGTGGGGCACTTACATTGGCGGGAGCAAGGCTGACACTGACAAAATTAGGTCAACGTAAGCTACCTTATGTCAACCTAACTATGTAGTGTAGACCAGGCCCTAGTGAGGACAGCCTCATCTTTAGTTCTTGCTATGAAGACAGTAGACCAAATTCTGCTCTGAATTTGGGGGGAGGGGATTTGGGCTGCTGGAGATTACCAAATGTAGGTCTTTATCGCTTCTCCTGCCAAGGAAGATGCTGCGTGTTTGGAGCTAGCCACCAAGCTGTGCCGTGGGAAGAGCATGAATAAGGAGAATGTGTTTGGAAGTGTAAACAAGCTAGTTAGTTAGGTGGGTGTTGTTGGCAGCAGATTGCTCTGTTGTTTTCTCAGTGCATTTCTGAAGGCAGGGAGATGTATAATGCATGTTTGTTACTCGTGTTACTTTATTTCACCCAGAAAATTATAGACACGCAGGCTGTTTCTGAAAGATGGCAAATTGCCAAAAGTTAGAAAATAATAAACTGCTAAAGATCCTAAACAGAAACTCCAGGGACTCCTGTGAACAGGTAGTGCCTTTTCCAATCTTCCTTAAAGAAAAGCCCAAACACTGGTTAATTCTCTTCCTGGCTGGGAAACTCTTCTTGCGCCATCCTCTTCTGGGATTTTGTCGTAACAAATACATTTACAATAACGTAAGGTTCACCTCAAGCTTTCTTTCCAGGTCTGGCTGCTTCTCAAGCTCCCACTTCAGGGCTGCTCACCCTCGGCTTACATTCTCTCTGCTCAAGCTGCTCCTGCTTCTCTTATATCCAGGTGGGATAACAGCCACTTGGCTCTGTGAGTCAGGAGAACCCACTCAGTCCTTTCCGAGCTCAGCCAACAAATGATAACAGGACCAGGTAACCTTGCTAGCCTGTTACACCTACGCACTAAAGATCCCACCTACAGTTGGAAATCCTTTGTCTTCTAAGCCTCCCCAAGGCTTCCTGAATAATGTTATTCAACCTCTCATTACATGTGCCTCTTCTGTTATTTAACACCGAGAGACCTCAAGCAAGCTGGGGCCCCATTGTGCCCCATGACAATCCCTGCTTTGAAATGCTTACAGTCTAAGGCCCCAAGGACATGAGCCATACGCCACTGGAAGGATTCCTGTTGACTTCAGAGCCCAGTTCAGAAAGGACTTAAGTATGTGCCTAACATTGAATTCAGTGGGACAACTCATGTGCTTAAAGTTAGACACATGCTTAAGTGTGTTACTGAATCAGAACCAGAATCAGAAAAGAGAGAAGGGAAAGATCTGGAAGAGCTGTACCCTCTGCTACTGCTTGCCTACTGCCTTCTGTCAGACCTCGTCAATGCTTGATGTGAGGGGTTGAGGGCACTGTGGTGTATTGTCTCCTCCGAGGGTCCCCTTCTAGCCAGAGGTTCCCAGCCAGTAGTAATCAGCCATGTGCTGTGCTGTCTGCTGCTCAGACCCAATGCTGCAGGAGGCTGCCCTCAAACCACAGGGCCTGGCAAAAATCCTGCCTTAATCTGAAACTGCCTGGTTTTAGCCCCCCCCCCCCCATCCCTTTGATGGTCCCTCTTATCCAGTCTCCTCCCTCTCTGCCATGTTCTACCTTGTTCCTATGACTATGACTATGACTATAGGTGGCTAGATGATATTTAAAAACAACCAGGAGTCCGGTGGCACCTTAAAGACTAACAGATTTATTTGGGCATAAGCTATGAAAGCTTATGCCCAAATAAATCTGTTAGTCTTTAAGGTGCCACCGGACTCCTCGTTGTTTTTGCGGATGCAGACTAACACAGCTACCCCTCTGATACTAGATAATACTTAGTCCTGCCATGAGTGCAGGTCTCAAGGTCCCTTCCAGTCTTCTGATTTTATGATTCTATGATACCTTCCTCATCCTCCCCATCCATCCATCTTGCCCTCCCTTGCCAGACTTTGCCTTACTAGGGGTGAAGAATTTTCTCCTTCATCCCATACTAATCTTACCATAGCACCTTGCACCATCTCCAGTGCCTCTCTCGCCGCCCACTGATACTTTCTCCTTCCTTTGCTGTCTTCTCCCTGCCCTCACCACTCATCCAGCACCTGGTTTTTCACTGTCCCCTCATGCGATTGATTCAAATTTTTAAGTGGCCATCCAGAGGTCCGGGTGCTGTGCATGCATACACATTAAAAACAGATTCACCAATGGCTAGAGAACATCTCCCAAGTCCTTTATCCAGGTCCCATAAAAAATGTTCCCCTTCACCTTTTAAGATTTCACATTAGTAACATACTTGTGAATAATGTAAGCGAATGACAAAGTAGCATTAAACACACATCCAGCTCAATTACAGGCTTTGGTGTCCGCTATGGAAATACTGAAGGATTCTATAGTAACTGTTCAAAATACTGTAGAAACATTATAACAAGTAGTGGTGTTTTGAACAATTACTGCAGGATGTTGTGGTTTATTTATTTTAATACGGGATAACTAGCTATTTTCCGGTACACTATTTATTGTTTTATTTAAGAGTTATTATTTATGTGGTGCCAAAAGGGTGCATAATAAATACCAGTGTATTACGTCAGTACACTGGAACTGGAACTTTTTGATTGTTTTACGCTAAGTATTTATTAGTAGCAACATTTGCACCTTTGGGGTATGTTTATACCAAAAAATCTCCAGATGCTCTCCAGTGCTTGGATAATACTAACTCTGCTTTACAGATGGGGAAACAGAGTCACAAGCTGATTAAATTATTTGCCCGAGCGTCACAACAAGTTTGTGTGTAGAGTTGGAAACAGAACCCAGGTCTCCTGCTGCTACCACCCCACTAGTTGGCTCCCAGTTTTTAGTACGGTAGCACTGCACTTCAACTTTAATCTGAAAATGTTCTGGTGAATCTGTTTCTTCATCCCAGTCCTTCCCCTCCTCAGACTGTAGTTTTACCAAATACAGAAGACTTTCAGCAAAGAGAAGGAAACAATAGCAGGATCGGAAACAATGGAACTGCAAAGTGAGTAACAGTGGCACAGCAGTTATGAAATATATAATGTAGCCAATCCAAATGTTTAAAAAATTGGATCTCCAATGCCTCCAGCCCTGTTGAAGAGAGAGTTTTGTCCCCAAGAGACGTAAAGCACTGCTGCAGCCAAAAGAAATCAAATAGACTTGTTTCAAATCGTCTTTATGTACTGATTCTCCAAGGCATTAAGCGCTCTATTATACCTATTTGTCTGGCTTACATCACTGCAGGAAATGTGCACCACACCATCTTTAATGTATTTATCCTCACAACACTGCTGTGAAGTAGGGAAGTGCCAATATGCCCATTTCACAGATGGGAAGCGGAGGCACAGAGAGGCTAAGTGACTTGTCCACGATCACACAGACAGCCTCTGGTGGAGCAGGGAATTGCACCTGAGTTTCCCAGGTTCTAGACTAGTGCCTTAACATTCCTTTATTTCTTCTTCCAATCTCCATTCCCTTGAGTGGGAGTTGAGGAGTCTCATTACTTTGTCCAAGTCCTCAGCACTTTCCATGCAGTGACACCTTTAGGGACAGAGCCTTAGCTGTATACATTATCATAGGTCCATAGATCTGCTCCTCCATTCTGACTGAGCATCAATAAGAGTTTTACATAATTAGCGGAGGATGGTCTGGCAAAAAACATT